CTGTTCTAATTTCATCACATACACATATAACATTGACCATCGTAGTTCTGTTCTAATTTCATCACATACACATATAACATTGACCATCGTAGTTCTGTTCTAATTTCATCACATACACATATAACATTGACCATCGTAGTTCTGTTCTAATTTCATCACATACACATATAACATTGACCATCGTAGGTCTGTTCTAATTCCATCACATACACATATAACATTCGTAGTTCTGTTCTAATTTCATCACATACACATATAACATTGACCATCGTAGTTCTGTTCTAATTCCATCACATACACATATAACATTGACCATCGTAGTTCTGTTCTAATTCCATCACATACACATATAACATTCGTAGTTCTGTTCTAATTTCATCACATACACATATAACATTGACCATCGTAGTTCTGTTCTAATTCCATCACATACACATATAACATTGACCATCGTAGTTCTGTTCTAATTCCATCACATACACATATAACATTGACCATCGTAGTTCTGTTCTAATTCCATCACATACACATATAACATTCGTAGTTCTGTTCTAATTTCATCACATACACATATAACATTGACCATCGTAGGTCTGTTCTAATTTCATCACATACACATATAACATTGACCATCGTAGTTCTGTTCTAATTCCATCACATACACATATAACATTGACCATCGTAGTTCTGTTCTAATTCCATCACATACACATATAACATTCGTAGTTCAGTTCTAATTTCATCACATACACATATAACATTGCCCATCGTAGTTCTGTTCTAATTTCCTCACATACATATATAACATTGACCATCGTAGTTCTGTTCTAATTTCATCACATACACATATAACATTGACCATCGTAGTTCTGTTCTAATTCCATCACATACACATATAACATTGACCATCGTAGTTCTGTTCTAATTCCATCACATACACATATAACATTCGTAGTTCTGTTCTAATTTCATCACATACACATATAACATTGACCATCGTAGTTCTGTTCTAATTCCATCACATACACATATAACATTCGTAGTTCTATTCTAATTTCATCACATACACATATAACATTGACCATCGTAGTTCTGTTCTAATTCCATCACATACACATATAACATTCGTAGTTCTGTTCTAATTCCATCACATACACATATAACATTCGTAGTTCTGTTCTGATTCCATCACATACACATATAACATTCGTAGTTCTGTTCTAATTCCATCACATACACATATAACATTCGTAGTTCTGTTCTAATTTCATCACATACACATATAACATTCGTAGTTCTGTTCTAATTTCATCACATACACATATAACATTCGTAGTTCTGTTCTAATTCCATCACATACACATATAACATTGACCATCGTAGTTCTGTTCTAATTTCATCACATACACATATAACATTGACCATCGTAGGTCTGTTCTAATTTCATCACATACACATATAACATTGACCATCGTAGGTCTGTTCTAATTTCATCACATACACATATAACATTGACCATTGTAGTTCTGTTCTAAATTCATCACATACACATATAACATTGACCATCGTAGTTCTGTTCTAATTTCATCACATACACATATAACATTGACCATCGTAGTTCTGTTCTAATTTCATCACATACACATATAACATTGACCATCGTAGGTCTGTTCTAATTCCATCACATACACATATAACATTGCCCATCGTAGGTCTGTTCTAATTCCATCACATACACATATAACATTGACCATCGTAGGTCTGATCTAATTCCATCACATACACATATAACATTGACCATCGTAGGTCTGTTCTAATTTCATCACATACACATATAACATTGACCATCGTAGGTCTGTTCTAATTTCATCACATACACATATAACATTGACCATCGTAGGTCTGTTCTAATTCCATCACATACACATATAACATTGACCATCGTAGTTCTGTTCTAATTCCATCACATACACATATAACATTGACCATCGTAGGTCTGTTCTAATTTCATCACATACACATATAACATTGACCATCGTAGTTCTGTTCTAATTCCATCACATACACATATAACATTGACCATCGTAGTTCTGTTCTAATTCCATCACATACACATATAACATTCGTAGTTCTGTTCTAATTTCATCACATACACATATAACATTGCCCATCGTAGTTCTGTTCTAATTTCATCACATACACATATAACATTGACCATCGTAGTTCTGTTCTAATTTCATCACATACACATATAACATTGACCATCGTAGTTCTGTTCTAATTCCATCACATACACATATAACATTGACCATCGTAGTTCTGTTCTAATTCCATCACATACACATATAACATTCGTAGTTCTGTTCTAATTTCATCACATACACATATAACATTGACCATCGTAGTTCTGTTCTAATTCCATCACATACACATATAACATTCGTAGTTCTATTCTAATTTCATCACATACACATATAACATTAACCATCGTAGTTCTGTTCTAATTCCATCACATACACATATAACATTCGTAGTTCTGTTCTAATTCCATCACATACACATATAACATTCGTAGTTCTGTTCTGATTCCATCACATACACATATAACATTCGTAGTTCTGTTCTAATTCCATCACATACACATATAACATTCGTAGTTCTGTTCTAATTTCATCACATACACATATAACATTCGTAGTTCTGTTCTAATTTCATCACATACACATATAACATTCGTAGTTCTGTTCTAATTCCATCACATACACATATAACATTGACCATTGTAGTTCTGTTCTAAATTCATCACATACACATATAACATTGACCATCGTAGTTCTGTTCTAATTTCATCACATACACATATAACATTGACCATCGTAGTTCTGTTCTAATTTTATCACATACACATATAACATTGACCATCGTAGGTCTGTTCTAATTCCATCACATACACATATAACATTGCCCATCGTAGGTCTGTTCTAATTCCATCACATACACATATAACATTGACCATCGTAGGTCTGATCTAATTCCATCACATACACATATAACATTGACCATCGTAGGTCTGTTCTAATTTCATCACATACACATATAACATTGACCATCGTAGGTCTGTTCTAATTTCATCACATACACATATAACATTGACCATCGTAGGTCTGTTCTAATTCCATCACATACACATATAACATTGACCATCGTAGTTCTGTTCTAATTCCATCACATACACATATAACATTGACCATCGTAGGTCTGTTCTAATTTCATCACATACACATATAACATTGACCATCGTAGTTCTGTTCTAATTCCATCACATACACATATAACATTGACCATCGTAGTTCTGTTCTAATTCCATCACATACACATATAACATTCGTAGTTCTGTTCTAATTTCATCACATACACATATAACATTGCCCATCGTAGTTCTGTTCTAATTTCATCACATACACATATAACATTGACCATCGTAGTTCTGTTCTAATTCCATCACATACACATATAACATTGACCATCGTAGTTCTGTTCTAATTTCATCACATACACATATAACATTGACCATCGTAGTTCTGTTCTAATTCCATCACATACACATATAACATTGACCATCGTAGTTCTGTTCTAATTCCATCACATACACATATAACATTCGTAGTTCTGTTCTAATTTCATCACATACACATATAACATTGACCATCGTAGTTCTGTTCTAATTCCATCACATACACATATAACATTCGTAGTTCTATTCTAATTTCATCACATACACATATAACATTGACCATCGTAGTTCTGTTCTAATTCCATCACATACACATATAACATTCGTAGTTCTGTTCTAATTCCATCACATACACATATAACATTCGTAGTTCTGTTCTGATTCCATCACATACACATATAACATTCGTAGTTCTGTTCTAATTCCATCACATACACATATAACATTCGTAGTTCTGTTCTAATTTCATCACATACACATATAACATTCGTAGTTCTGTTCTAATTTCATCACATACACATATAACATTCGTAGTTCTGTTCTAATTCCATCACATACACATATAACATTGACCATCGTAGTTCTGTTCTAATTTCATCACATACACATATAACATTGACCATCGTAGGTCTGTTCTAATTTCATCACATACACATATAACATTGACCATCGTAGGTCTGTTCTAATTTCATCACATACACATATAACATTGACCATCGTAGTTCTGTTCTAATTTCATCACATACACATATAACATTGACCATCGTAGTTCTGTTCTAATTTCATCACATACACATATAACATTGACCATCGTAGTTCTGTTCTAATTTCATCACATACACATATAACATTGACCATCGTAGGTCTGTTCTAATTCCATCACATACACATATAACATTGACCATCGTAGGTCTGTTCTAATTCCATCACATACACATATAACATTGACCATCGTAGGTCTGATCTAATTCCATCACATACACATATAACATTGACCATCGTAGGTCTGTTCTAATTTCATCACATACACATATAACATTGACCATCGTAGGTCTGTTCTAATTTCATCACATACACATATAACATTGACCATGGTAGGTCTGTTCTAATTCCATCAAATACACATATAACATTGACCATCGTAGTTCTGTTCTAATTCCTTCACATACACATATAACATTGACCATCGTAGGTCTGTTCTAATTTCATCACATACACATATAACATTGACCATCGTAGTTCTGTTCTAATTCCATCACATACACATATAACATTGACCATCGTAGGTCTGTTCTAATTCCATCACATACACATATAACATTGACCATCGTAGTTCTGTTCTAATTTCATCACATACACATATAACATTGACCATCGTAGGTCTGTTCTAATTTCATCACATACACATATAACATTGACCATCGTAGTTCTGTTCTAATTCCATCACATACACATATAACATTGACCATCGTAGGTCTGTACTTACCACCACCACACATCGGATCTTGGGATTTGAACTCACACCCATAACAAAGACCGTTGTAATGACACGCTTGGCCTCGACATCCCGAGGGGCAAGTCTGGTTGCAATATTCGCTGTAGTGGGGTGGCGCACAATCTAATCGAGAAGAAGAGCAGTACTAACCATCTTCACAGTACTGATGAATGCATCTTAATAATGCGGACGCACAGTAGGATCGTAGGATTAAAAGTGGTCTGTCTTCATGTACTATGCTTTTATTTTACCTTGTTGATTACATTTACTTAAGTCATTCATTGTTTGATTTAGTTTGACAATACAGTATTAAGATTTTTAAGTATAGTCAATTCAAATGTACACTTACAGTCTTTGTTATTGATAAGTAACATTTTGATTTGAGGCCTTCAGAGGCCCCGCAGAAATGTTTTGGGGCCCCTACCTATTTATGTATATATATATATATATATATATATATATATATATATATATATATATATATATATATATATATATATATATATATATATATATATATGAAGGGCTCAGTGGAAAAAGTACTTCAGTTACATTTTTTCAAAAATGAGTTAAGACCGGTATAATATTTGATTACCTCCCCTTAACCATCCCTGTATATTTGGGTCATGGAAAAAGTACCGAAGTAGCTTAATTCGATTACTCAGTTTCGATTTAAAAACTTTGCACTCATTTTTCTCAAAACTCTCAAAATACACTTAAGTACTTTTTCCACTGCGCCCTTCATATATATATATATATATATATATATATATATATATATATATATATATATATATATATATATATATATATATATATATATATATATATATATATATATATATATATATATATACTAGGCTTTCTGCCTAGCTTCGCTTAGGTTTACAAAAATGTATGAGAGTTTTAATGATTAATTAATTGGTGATTGGTTGTTATGTTGAGTCCTTAGGGCCGACATTTTTTTTAACAGTCTGAGTAATTTATTGTCATGCAAACATTGGTGGAGTATTCGCAAACTTATTACACGCAAGGTTATTATAACTGCAAAGGCTTCCTTAGTAGTATAAATCAAATATTACATTGATTTCACTTTTGCAATTAATTTTTACATTTAGGTACAATAACTTTACTAAATTTAAAACAAAATATTTATTTAAACGAATGCTATACGTTGTGGTGTTTTTTTTTTCTAAAAAAATTGTATAAATATTATTTTAAAATTATTAATTTAAAAGTTAGGGGCCTCCCTAAATGACGTCACATTCGTAGGGGGGAGGGAAGTTCCGTAATTTTGTGACGATGTGTGATGAGGGGGAGGGGGGGGTTCAGCTGTTGCGACGTCACATTTTTGCATTATAAAAAAGCAATGTTAGAAAACGAATTTTATACGTTATTTCGCGTTTTAGATAACTGTTTTAATAAATTGTAATAGTTTAGACAAGATTTTGGAAAAATATCGATGTTTAAAAAAAAATTCAACTGCAATTTGGAGGGGGGGGGGGTTGTAGGTTGAGGTGTGAGGTCATTTTAGGGGGGGGGGGGTCTGGCTTCTTGTGACAACATGTGACGGAGGGGAGGGAGGGAGGTAAAAATCGTCCAAAAAAGCGTGACGTCATTTATGGATGACCCCTTACCTCCCCGGTACATAAAACCATATGACATAGTCTTTGTTTACTTTCTCACCAACAATTGTTCATAGAAGAAATTACGGCATCTGGACAAATCTAACGATCACGTGGTTTTTTTCCGACAGGAATAATGTTGTTTTTGGTACCCTCCAGGTTCTGCCTAAGACCTCAAAAAATATTAGGGGGATCCTTCGTCAATTTACTTATATAAATCTCATATAAGGAGAATGTCGCTCGCGGTCATTTTTTAGCCCTCCTTGAGGACTTTGAGTCTGACCAACAGTTTTTCCATACGGAATAGTCATCTATAGAGGTGCATGCAAAACATTAGCCAGATGTACAGAGGTTAAGTAAACTAAAATGTGTGTTGAAACTATCCTGCTTTTCACATAAAATACAACGATTATATAGGGAAATATGACTGCTCAGTTTTGACCCATTTCTAGATTTTCCAAGATATGGGGAGTTTTTTCTGACACCCTTAGGCGTTCTTCTACCAATTTTCAAAATATCAAGGGGTCGTTCGACAAAAGTTTTTTTTTCCGTAATATAGCTCATATTAAGAGAATTTCACTCGCGTTCATTTTTTCCATACGGCCTAACAATTTATCTAGGTGCATGCAAAACGTTAGTCAGATATACAGAAAGTAAGTAGTACTTACTTTCTATATATCTGGCTAACGTTTTGCGTGCCATAATTACCATAAAATCTTTGTTGAAATTACCCTCTGTTTTCCCTTTGATTGAAACCGACAATTTTCCCTAAAGGTCAAGCCATTTACCTAAGAGCATGCAAAAAATTAGCCAGATGTAAAGACGGTAAGTGCCCTAAAATCCGTTTTGAAATCACCCTCTGTTTTTCCCATAAAATACAAAGATAATATAGGGAAATACGACTGGTCAGTTTTGACCACTTTAGGAAGATTTCCCAGATATGCCGAGTTTTTTCTGACACCCCAAGGCATTCTTCTACCACCTCAAAAAATATCAAGGGGGGTCGTTCGGCAAAAGTTTTTTTTCGTAATATAGCTCATATAAGGTGCCGGTCAGTCGAAGGTCAGTTTTGACCCCCTCTTCGTGGACTTTTCGGCCAACCGGCACCGGCTCCCGTGTTCTATTGCCCCAAGGCCTGATTTTGCCAAATTCGAAGCACCCGCGGTGCCGGGAAGTGTCCTTTCGTGCACCCGACCTCTTATATATATATATATATATATATATATATATATATATATATATATATATATATATATATATATATATATATATATATATATATATATATATATATATATATATATATATATATATATATATATGGACAACAATTGCCGTACTCATTTAAAAAAAAAATTTACTCCAGTTCTTGGGGACACATGGTATATATTTTTTCCTGTGGTGCATGAATAAATCAAAGATTGAGGTTTTCATCAAAATGTTACCAATCGTATATTTTTAGACGTGTGTCGTAGTATCCCGAAGTTGAATCAAATGTGAGCGATATCGGCACTTCATCGATTGGATCTTAGTTGTTGGGGCACATTACCAACGAGACACCCCAGGGGCGTACTGTAAGCTTTAGTTTGCGCTGATCACCCGTCGGCGACCTCCCAGGTGTCAAGGAGTACGGGGAGCTACCGGTTACATTACTGCACGGGTGGTGGGTGCAACCCCTGGTTAGATTTAGTCATCGAATGTAGTAGCGAGACTGCACGGGTGGTGGGTGGTGGGTGCAACCCCTGGTTAGATTTAGTCATCGAATGTCGTAGCGAGACTGCACGGGTGGTGGGTGCAATCCCTGGTTAGATTTAGTCATCGAATGTAGTAGCGAGACTGCACGGGTGGTGGGTGGTGGGTGCAACCCCTGGTTAGATTTAGTCATCGAATGTCGTAGCGAGACTGCACGGGTGGTGGGTGCAATCCCTGGTTAGATTTAGTCATCGAATGTAGTAGCGAGACTGCACGGGTGGTGGGTGGTGGGTGCAACCCCTGGTTAGATTTAGTCATCGAATGTCGTAGCGAGACTGCACGGGTGCTGGGTGGTGGATGGTACCCCTGGTTAGATTTAGTCATCGAATGTAATAGTGAGACTTATCCCAAGTGTTGTGTGCACTTTTTTACGACTCTCCGGATGACACTGCCGCCGGTGGTTTCAAGTAGTAACCCTATCCCTAACCCTATCCCCCATGGTTAACCCTAACCCTATCCCCCATGGTTAACCCTAACCTTATCCCCCATGGTTAACCCTAACCCTATCCCCCATGGTTAACCCTAACCCTATCCCCCATGGTTAACCCTAACCCTATCCCCCATGGTTAACCCTAACCCTATCGCCCATGGTTAACCCTAACCCTATCCCCCCATGCAGGGCACACAATAAGTGGATCCTAGGTGTAAAGATAACCACTGAGGATCTTGGGGGGCTAAATCACATATTTCTGTGGGGCGCCACCACCCCAATATGTAAACAAATGTCAGAGGCCTATGACAGAAACCTTTGCGGGGTTGTACTCAACAGCTTCCCAACTTTTCATGGCGATCGGATGAATGATGTAGAAATGCATAGAAGACAGAAATAAGATTTCACATGTACAACTGCATGTTGCCAGCTCACACGTCGGGTAACCTTCTCATTTAGGGGCCATTTACAAATGACGCTTTATTAAAGACTAACGAAATAAAACCCGTTTATTAATAGTAATTGACTATAAATTATGTTCAATTATTTCATTTACTAATGAATAACCTTTTCTAAATAATATAAAAAATAACCTGACCTGCCTTGTTTTGTGGATTCATTAAATGCTATGCAAGTAAATTAAAATCTGCTGACTAGTGTTGGTACAAAATGTGCTGAAGTGGTGAATGTACGGTTAGCAAGTTCAAAAACGATACATTTAACTATTCGATACTTGCGAGGCTAAGGGTAATAGTGATGGTCGCAACTACTTTTCTCAAAGCCTATTATAATTATAAAACCTATTCAAGGGAGAAAATTCAAAATATACAAGTCTACTATCACATTTCTTGTAAAAGCAAAATCAAGTAAACGTATATAAAAGTTACTAGTACCTCCCCATCTAACTACACATCTAAATACACATCTAGATGTACAACTACATCCCCATCTAGCTACACATCTAAATGTACATCTAGATGTACAACTACATCCACATCTAGCTACACATCTAAATGTACATCTAGATATACAACTACATCCACATCTAACTACACATCCAAATGTACATCTAGATCTACAACTACATCACCATCTAGCTACACATCTAAATGTACATCTACATCATCATCTAGCTACACATCTAAATGCACATCTAGATGTACAACTACATCCACATCTAGCTACACATCCAAATGTACATCTAGATCTACATCTACATCCCCATCTAGCTACACATCTAAATGTACATCTACATCCACATCTAGCTACACATCTAAATGTACATCTAGATGTACAACTACATCCACATCTAACTACACATCTAAATGTACATCTAGGTGTACAACTACATCCACATCTAGCTACACATCTAAATGTAAATCTAGGTGTACAACTACATCCACATCTAGCTACACATCTAAATGTACATCTAGATGTACAACTACATCCACATCTAGCTACACATCTAAATGTACATCTAGGTGTACAACTACATCCACATCTAGATACACATCTAAATGTAAATCTAGGTGTACAACTACATCCACATCTAGCTACACATCTAAATGTAAATCTAGGTGTACAACTACATCCACATCTAACTACACATCTAAATGTACATCTAGATGTACAACTACATCCCCATCTAACTACACATCTAAATGTACATCTACATCATCATCTAGCTACACATCTAAATGTACATCTAGGTGTACATCTACATCCACATCTAACTACACATCTAAATGCACATCTAGATGTACATCTACATCCACATCTAACTACACATCTAAATGTACATCTAGGTGTACAACTACATCCACATCTAGCTACACATCTAAATGTACATCTAGATGTACATCTACATCATCATCTAGCTACACATCTAAATGCACATCTAGATGTACAACTACATCCACATCTAGCTACACATCTAAATGTACATCTAGGTGTACAACTACATCCACATCTAACTACACATCTAAATGTACATCTAGACGTACAACTATATCCACATCTAGCTACACATCTAAATGTACATCTACATCGCCATTAAACTACACATCTAGACGTACAACTACATCCACATCTAGCTACACATCTAAATGTACATCTACATCCCCATTAAACTACACATCTAGACGTACAACTACATACACATCTAGCTACACATCTAAATGTACATCTACATCCCCATTAAACTATACATCTAGAGGTACATCTACATCATCATCTAGCTACACATCTAAATGTACATGTAAATGTACAACAACATCTAGCTACACATCTAAATGTACATCTAGGTGTACAACTACATCCACATCTAGCTACACATCTAAATGTACATCTAGGTGTACAACTACATCCACATCTAACTACACATCTAAATGTACATCTAGGTGTACAACTACATCCACATCTATCTACACATCTAAATGTACATCTAGATGTACAACAACATCCCCATGAACTAACCGCCAAAAGCCTCCAGCTCACAGATGAGCACCTGTTGTGTACTGCTCAGTCGAAATTTGTGAACACGTAGCCGTTGCTTGAGCTTGAACTCCACGCTACCCTTGTGGCTGGTGATACCGTTCATTGTGCCAATGCTCTCGTCTTTCTCAGTTAGAAACTGTAGACTTAACTCGACGTTGTGGCCTACAACAAAAGTGGCATTACCTCACCGGAAGCACGTGATCAGATGAGTTCATCAAGTACATGTGCACTTGACTTTGTTAAATTTTGGGGTGTGGTTGCATGATGTTTGTTTTCGTATTATATTTTTTATTGTATTTCTAATTATTTTTAAAAAATTGTACTTCTATTTTTAAAATCATATTTTTAGTTGTGTTGGGTGTTACGGGAGGTCAAGTATTATACATGAATCAAAGCAAGTAGCTTAGGTTAAATTAAAAATCTGTTGATAGGTTTAAGATGAGGTTTGTTTGTTTTGGATTAAATTGTTAAAGTTGGCCAAACAAAATTGTTAAAGTTGGCCAAACAAAATTGTTAAAGTTGGCCAAACAAAATTGTTAAAGTTGGCCAAACAAAATTGTTAAAGTTGGCCAAACAAAATTGTTAAAGTTGGCCAAACAAAATTGTTAAAGTTGGCCAAACAAAACTGTTAAAGTTGGCCAAACAAACTATTAATAATCTGATATCAATTCATGAAAGCATTAACTTGTGTTCAATTTAAAATCTGTATAGGTGACATGTTCACGGTTTGTTTAGAGCTACAGTTAATTCAAACAGGTGTTAGGCAGGTGATGGACAGGTGCTAGACAGTATTAGATAGGTGTTACATATGTGTTAGACAGGTGTTAGGCAGGTGTTAAACTGCTGCTGGACAATTGCTAGACAGGTTTAAACAGGTGTTAGACATGTATTAAACAGGTGTTAGACATGTATTAGACAGGTGTTAGACATGTATTAGACAGGTGTTAGACAGTTATTAGACAGGTGTTAGACATGTATTAGACAGGTGTTAGACATGTATTAGACAGGTGTTAGACATGTATTAGACAGGTGTTAAACAGGTGCTGGACAATGGCTAGACAGGTGCAGAACTATTGCTCTACAGGTGTAAGACAGGTGTTATGGAGGTGTTAAAGTGGTACTTGACAATTGATAGACAGTTTTAGACAGGTGTTAGACAGATGTTAAACATTTGCTGGACAGGTACTAGACAGGTGTTAGAGTGAAGGGAAAGTCCATAATTAAGGTGCATGTTGGGCGGGGTGGCGTTGGGTGTTGTTCATATGTCGTGAGGGCTTGGTATGGAGTGGTGGGGTGTTGTGATTCAGGTTGTTGGGTGGTGGTGGGCGGTGTTAGGTGGTGGTGGGTGGTGTTGGTGGGTGGTGGGTGGTGTTGGTAGGTGGTGGGTGGTGTTGGTGGGTGGTGGGTGGTGTTGGTGGGTGGTGTTGGTTGGTGGTGGGTGGTGTTGGTTGGTGGTGGGTGGTGTTGGTAGGTGGTGGGTGGTGGGTGGTGTTGGTTGGTGGTGGGTGGTGTTGGTAGGTGGTGGGTGGTGTTGGTAGGTGGTGGGTGGTGTTGGTTGGTGGTGGGTGGTGTTGGTTTGCTTCTGTATGTCGTTCATGGTGTCCTGCTATGTGAGTGTGTGAGTGTGTGAGTGTGTGAGTGTGTGCTGTGTGAGTGTGTGCTGTGTGAGTGTGTGAGAGTGTACTGTATGAGTATGTGCGGTGTGAGTGTGTGAGTGTGTGCTGTGTGAGTGTGTGAGTGTGTGCTGTGTGAGTGTGTGCTGTGTGAGTGTGTGCTGTGTTAGTGTTTGCTGTGTGAGTGTGTGCTGTGTGAGTGTGTGCTGTGTGAGTGTGAGCTGTGTGCTGTGTGTGTGTGAGTGTGTGCTGTGTGAGTGTGTGCTGTGTGAGTGTGTGCTGTGTGAGTGTGAGCTGTGTGCTGTGTGTGTGTGAGTGTGTGCTGTGTGAGTGTGTGATGTGTGAGTGCGTACTGTGTAAGTGTGTGTGTGAGTGTGTGCTGTGTGAGTGTATGCTGTGTGAGTGTGTGCTGTGTGTGTGAGATTGGGTGCTGTGTGTGTGAGTGAATGCTGTGTGAGTGTGTGCTGTGTGCGGTGTGTGCTGTGTGAGTGTATGCTGTGTGAGTGTGTGCTGTGTGTGTGAGATTGGGTGCTGTGTGTGTGAGTGAATGCTGTGTGAGTGTGTGCTGTGTGCGGTGTGTGCTGTGTCCTGTGTGAGTGGGCACTTTGTGAAAGTGTGTGTGAGTGTGTGTGTGCTGTGTGTCTGTGTGCTGTGTGAGTGTGTGCTGTGTGCTCTGTGAGTTTGTGCTGTGTGAGTGTGCTGTGTGAGTGTGTGTGTGTTTGAGTGTGTACTGTGTGAGTGTGTGCTGTGTGAGTGTCTGCTGTGTGAGTGTGTGAGAGTGTGCTATGTGAGTGTGTGTGTGTTTGAGTGTGTACTGTGTGAGTGTGTGCTGTGTGAGTGTGTGAGAGTGTGCTGTGTGAGTGTGTGCTGTGAGTGTCTGCTGTGTGTACTGTGTGAGTGTTTGCGGTTTCAGTGTGTGAGTGTGTGCTGTGTGAGTGTATACTATGTGAGTGTGTGCTGTGTGAGTGTGTGCTGTGTGAGTGTGTGCTGTGTGAGTGTGTGCTGTGTGAGTGTGTGCTGTGTGAGTGTGTGCTGTGTGAGTGTGTGCTGTGTGAGTGTGTGCTGTGTGAGTGTGTACTGTATGAGTGTGTGCTGTGTGAGTGTGTGCTGTGTGAGTGTGTGCTGTGTGAGTGTGTGTGTTGTGTGAGTGTGTACTGAGTGAGTGTGTGCTCTGTGAGTGTGTGCTGTGTGAGTGTGTGAGTGTGTGCTGTGTACTGTTAGAGTGTGTGCTGTGTGAGTGTGTGCTGTGTGAGTGTGTGCTGTGTGAGTGTGTGATGTGTGAGAGCGTACTGTGTAAGTGTGTGTGTGAGTGTGTGCTGTGTGAGTGTATGCTGTGTGAGTGTGTGCTGTGTGAGTGTGTGCTGTGTGAGTGTGTGCTGTGTGTTGTGTGTGTGTCTGTGTCTATGTGTGTGTGTGTGTCTGTGTGTGTGTGTCTGTGTGTGTGTCTGTGTGTGTCTATGTCTGCGTGTCGTGTGTGTGTGTCTGTAAACACGATAACTTGAGTACAGTAACAGCTAGGTTGATGAAATTTTACATATAAGTATAACTAGCCGTCCCGGCCAGGCCCTGCTCTGGCTTCTGTGAAAAACCTTTCTGTTAAAGACCATGTATCTGTGTGTTTAGTAATCATCATAAACCCGGCATTGCCCACCCAAACCACAACCAACCAAAACAACAAAACGCAAACATAACGCTAACACAAATACAAACGAAACAAAAACCTAACAACAAACCCAACCACAATCACAAACACCAATACAAACACAAAGTAAAAACAAACAAAAAAGCAAACGAAAACAAAAACCTAACAACAAACCCAACCACAACCACAAACACCAATACGAACACAAAGAAAAAAACAAACGAAAAAGCAAACGAAAATAAACAAAATCCAAACGCAAAACCAACCACAAACACAAACCCAAAGAAAAAAACACAAACGAAAAAGCAAACGAAAACAAACCAAATCCAAACGCAAAACCAACCACAAACACAAACCCAAAGAAAAAAAAACACAAACGAAAACGAAAAAAGAAAGAACAAAAACGAATCAAATCAAAACGCAACCACTAACGCAAACCCAACCTAAACACAAAGAAAACACTAACGTGAACATAAACGCAAAGTGCTCACAGTCTAGCCCGGGGCAGAATCGCCTGTTTCAGCTTAATAATCGACTATAGTACCCAAACTTATTCATAGTCTTTTGCACTCACTTAAACGAACGTAGGTGCCAAACCAAACCAAATGAACAATTATAATACTCCAAGCTTATTCGTAAAATACCTACAACATTTGCACTTGATCAATCCCCGCTAATTATGTAATTATTTTTTTCCCAACACCAAAGCAAAGTAATAAAAAGAAAATTCTTTTCCACTAATGCAATTTTTTATAAAGGGAAGTAATTGTGTTTTCCTAATTTATCAAAGGGAAGTAAGTGCTAAAGGACTAAATATAAATAATTTTCAGACATAATTAGAATTTTTGTTATTTTTTAAAAATTGTGTTTAATGAACATGCCGACAATTATTATTATCAGTTTGACAAATGAAAATTATTTCCCAACACTTTCAATAGTAATTTTTTAACTCATAAATTTAGACTATGAGCACGGTAATAGTCTAACACTTAAATCCATAGAAGTATGTCAACGACAAACAAACTTATTACACGTTACATACAGAATTGAGCTTTATATATTAGATATCAAAATCGTAGATCCGTATCAACTTTTGAATTTTTCAAAAGCCTATAACTTGAGTACTATTTGAATGAAAGGTTACCTTGAGGCGGATACACTATCAGCTCGTGCAGGAGGTATGGACTGCTGTAGGTGATGAGGAAGTTGAGTGGAGCGCTGTGGTCGGCGTGAGGTGTACAGGTTGCCGCGTTACCGTCTACAGCAGCCGCCGTCTCACGGTTCCCAATCTGGAAGCTTTTCTGCAGCAGGGCTGTATTGCGACCTGTCCAAAAATGTCGCTGACATTAAAGATACCGACACGTCTAATCTACAAAATATGTATTGCACATTTACTGCATATTTACTGCATATTTACTGTATATTTACTGCACATTTACTGTATGTTTAATGCATGTTTACTGCATATTTACTGTATAGTTACTGCATATTTACTGCATATTTACTGTGTGTCTATCTTGCGACTTGTTCAGTTTTCAAAATGGTCAAAGTCGTACACTGTAGTGAACGAGAGAAGGGGGTGAATGGGGGTGAATGTTGTTGTTACTGGGTACCCCATCCCGTTCGTCCTAGTTCAGTTCTCGTGCCGTGAGTTGTAATAGTCCGGTTTGTACCAGTTTATGAAAGGGTATAGGAGGAATTTTTTTTTAATAAGGTGTATGAAAACGTGTGCGATTGCCTCAGTTTCGTCCAGATCTCCAAGGTTAGTACAGGTTAGTTCTATACTAGTTTTTTTTTATAGCCACTGTATCAGAGTTTTCCTAGCTTGTTTGTTTTGTGTTTAGAATAGGCTGTGTTAGGTGTAGAGGTTTATGTGTTATCCAGTCAAAATAATAAAATATTAACACTCCACCGAAGAAAGTCTACGTCCCCCTCTCCCCCCCCCCCCCCGAACGAAATGGAATTTATATAGGAAACATATACTTTTACCATTGTCCACCACCCTTCACCCCCCCCCCCCCCCCCCGGAAAATAGTGCCCGCCCCACACCCACGAAAATTTCAAGTTCCCCTCCCCCCCCCCCCTGAGAAAAGTCTGGAAAAAACGCTGCAATATTTTCCTTGGGCCCCTATGCCTTGCTTAAGCTAGCTTTGATAGACGGGCTTACATTCGTACATGTGTCGTTCATTTAGGTACAAACCTTGAAAACTTATAAAACGACACAATGGGCGACACATGTGTCGTACATTTAGGTACAAACCTTGAAAACTTATAAAACGACACAATGGGCGACACATTGTGAAACCACGACACAATGGGCGACACACTTTGCCCGTTACCTCCACTAATGTTAATTGAGCAAATATTTTTTGGCCCCTCCCACATGAGGATGACACGGTCGACGTAGGGGGGGACGGGCGTGCAGACTAGATCGACGACGTTCAGGTCTGTCGCGGGCTGAACAACATACACGTGACTCAAGTCCCAGCAGTCGTGAAGTTTTTTCTTTGATTCGAATTGAAGTTCAAATCCCCTGGCCTTCTGACCTGCAGAATATTTCACGTTCACGGCAAGGCTTAGCATGGGTTGGAGGATTAGAGGAAAGGGTTGGCATTTGGTTGGCTTTGTATTTTAGATGGTTGGGGATGATGTTAATGATCGCTTTAAAGACTAGCTTACATCCCCTGCAAAGTAGATGCGATCTTGGTTACAGGGAGAAGGTAGATCTCAAGTAGGGTGAGGCGGTAATTTGCGAGACGAGCGCGAAAACCGTCGGTCAAGTGACATTTTTGCCTCGCCTATTACCACCACCCGATACTGTCGCTGGGCGTTGGTAAAATGCGAAGATATCTGCGAAAATTTACGGCACCCGATATTTGATGCCGATTTCAAAGACGTTTCATTGTATTGTTAAAACTTTCGATTTTTCCGTCGCTAGACATACTGATGATTTGACCACCACTTTTTAAAACCAAAACTAGATAGGGCCTAAAAAATAAGGACCTCATACCTCACAAGTGTTATCTGCCTGTTTATTTAATAACTAAAAGAAAAAAACATTTTTTTTTTCGTAAATTGTGTCTCGCTATTTACCAGTGATTCGGAAGATATGTCTCGCATTTTTTCTTCTCGCATTTTTCTTCTCGCATTGTTCTTCTCGCATTTTTCTTCTCGCAGTTTACCACCGCTTTGCGTTTCGCATATGGCAATTTACCAACACGCGTTTAATTTGAGTTTTATGTAAGTAAAGTTTAAATAGGGCTTAGTTTGAATCTTAACTTAGTTTTGGTAGGGCTCACTTTCAATCTTAACTTAGTATAGTATTTTAGAAAATGTGTGATCACTGACCAGTTTTTTTTTCTGTAACTCTCATCCAAGTAAAATATTTGGGTTCTCTAAATGTAATCGAAGCGGACACCATTTTATTATCCGTGTTGCAAGTAGTGACGTCATAATCCGTGGCTACAGGTAAACTAGAGGTCAAGGCCGCGTTCTTGCCTGCAAGATCCCCTAAGAGAGAATAATCAGTAGAGCTGTAATTAATGTTAGGGTCAAAGATAGATGTGAATGCAATGAGGGTAATAATGTTAGGTTTCCCGAGAGATAAAAGCCAATAAATTACAGCTATCCCTAAAACCAGTTGCGTTGTAAAGCATAAGGCATAAGGGCCTAAGGAAAAAAGTGACCTTTTTTCCGCTTTTAGAAAATGAAAACTTTTACATTGGAATTAAATATTACTTTTATTTAAATTATAATTTAAAAAAATGGAATCTAGTTCCTTTTCTACTATAGAAAATATACTCTAGAAATATTTAAAAGCTAGACCCATCAGTAATAACAAAACTGCAGGCGTTGCTGTATTGTCGGGCAAGCATCCGGCACCCTTAAATGTTCAAGCATCTCTGCAAACCTCAACTACCTGGGGAATTCCCCACCCCACAGACCTGCTTGCCCCAACTGTCTGCCCTCCCTGAAGTTCCATCCTACTAAACATCCATAATAACAATGGAGCCTTTAAAAAATAAACCGGGAGTGACTTCCCCTAGACTTTCTCGAATATTCTTATATAAAACAACAGGGGATGGGAACTCGGGATACAGACATGATTTTTAATCCATTTTAAATATTTAAACTTTTTAAAATAGAATAAAATTTCGTGGAAAAAGAATTGCACACCAAGTGAACGCCAAATAAAGATGTGCATAATAGTGCGCAATATTATTAGTACTTTAATAATTTACATGCGTTTTTTAAGAGATTGGAAATAGCGTAAATTACTACTTCCGGTCAACAGAAATTACTCAAAATTTGATAGAAGGTAGAGAATTAGATCATTTATTTACATGTGAAATTTTATTTATCTATCTGAAATAGTACTCAAGTTATAGGCTTTTGAAAAATTCAAAGTAGAAAAAGTACCACTTCCGGTTATCGGAAATCACTCAAAAGTTGATATGGATCTACGATTTTAATATAATACTTATATATGAAATTTCATCAGCCTAGCTGTAACCGTACTCAAGTTATCGTGTTTACACACACACATAGACACACAGACAGACACACAGACATACGTACGGACAAGATTGCAAAATTATGTTTTCCCGTATCAGTGAGGTGTAAAACGTCGAGATTTCTAAAAATCTCGATTTTTTTTTTTTGCACGATTACAATACTTTCTCTCTACTTCGTATATACGAGAAAGTAAAAAAAACAACATGGACACTATTTTCACAAGATGAGTCCAACAATGTTTTTCTACTAATTTTTACCTGAATGACATTTCATTTGCTGATCTAATCAATTTTTAATCAATATGGCGTTACTAACACTATTAACACTATGGTGTCGCCAAGAAACTTTAGCAAGTTGTTGATAGTATTCCAGGCAGATTTTAAAGACATTTTTTCTGAAAATGTAACTAAAAGAACTTTTTGGGCATGTTTCTCCTTTAAATTATTGTATTTATGAGGGCGGCGCTCGGCAGTAATGCGGTGCGGTGTGCCACCCAGAGTTTTCCAGCGGCTATTTTTGCACCTGGTGTCCGTTGATTGGGTGTCCACCACAGCGGGTACTACTTGATTCAGTGGTCAAATTGCACATCAACCCGGTGCGTTCCTGGTTTCCCAATTTTTTCAAATCAAAAACATTTTTACAAGCCGCTCCTAAATGTCAATATGTTTACTTCGGGAGCCGGACGTTTTCCCGAATGGACACTTGCCCGAATGCGACAATTGCCCGAATGTACACTTGCCCGAATGCGACAATTGCCCGAATGTACACTTGCCCGAATGCGACAAATGCCCGAATGGACACTTGCCCGAATGCGACAAATGCCCGAATGGACACTTGCCCGAATGCGACAAACGCCCGAATGGACACTTGCCCGAATGCGACAAATGCCCGAATGTACACTTGCCCGAATAGGACAAATGCCCGAATGGACACTTGCCCGAATAGGACAAATGCCCGAATGGAATGGACACTTGCCCGATTGGGACAAACGCCCGAATGGACACTAGCCCGAATGCGACAAATGCCCGAATGGACAGCGAAATGAGATGGACAGACTCAGGCCTGACTACACTAGGATCAGGAGAAACTATAATCTATTCTGGGAGATCTGATAACCAACAACAGGAAGGAGTTGGTATTATCATGGATAAAATATCAAGGAAAAGTCTAATAGGGTGGGAACCAATCAATTCTCGCATTCTTAGAGCCAGACTCTACTCAAGACATGTAAAGATTACCTTAATACAGTGCTACACCCCGACAGAACAAGCAAAAGATAAAGACAAAGACATGTTCTACCACACTCTACAAGATCAAATCGACAGGACTCCACAACATGACATTCTTGTGGTCATGGGAGACATAAATACAAAAATAGGAGCCAGTAACCAAGGATACGAGCTCTGCATGGGTAAGGAGGGGCTGGGAGAGCCAAACAACAACGGCCAAAGATTTAGAGAGATTTGCCTAGAAAATGGTCTGGTTATAGGTGGCATCTTATTTCAGCACAAAGAAATACACAAAACCACATGGATATCCCCATATAAGCAAACCAGCATCAAGTCGATCACATTGCTATAAATAAAAAGTGGAGAAGATCCATGAGGGATGTAAAGGCAATAAGAGGAGCTAATGTAGGAAGCGACAATAATCTAGTCTTGTGCAAACTACACCTCAAGCTTTAGGAGAGCTGACAGGAAAGTAAACCACCGGCTATTTGACTCAGCTAAACTAAAAGATTCCACCCTTAAGGCAAACTTCGCAATTGAACTAAAAAATAGATTTAGTCTACTCGAGAACCTATCAGAAAAGGACACCAATACACAATGCGAGAAGATCCTGGATGCATACACGAAAACAAGCCAATGTATACTAGGACACAGGAACAAACAAAGGAATGAATGGATCTCAAACGATACTTGGAATCTCATTGAAAAGAGAAGATAAGCCAAAATCAAAACACTATCTGGAACCATGGAAAGCAGAGTACGGAACGATGTAGAATATAGAAGACTGCAAAAAGAGGTAAAAAGGAATGCTAGGAAGGATAAAAGGAACTATGTAGACACAATGGCCACAGAAGCACAGGCTGCAGCGGATAAGGGAGATAGCAGAACAGTCTATAAGATTATCAGGACTCTAACAGGCGGAATAGCAAACAGATCATCTACTATCAAGGACAAAACATGTGATAATTCTCACAACGGAGAAAAATCTTTGACCAGATCCAGAAGAAACTGCTGGCTTCACTGACATAAACCTGCATTTTGAAATGTATAGAGGACCCATCGTAGAACAAGAAATAATAGAAGCTATCCAAAAAACAAAAAGCAATAAGGCTCCAGGAGAGGATAGAATCACTGCGGAGATGCTAAAGGCAGACCCAAAAGTAGGTGCAGAAACTCTATCAGGGATCTTCAATAAAGTATGGAATGAAAAGTCCCAGATTCTTGGAAACGGGGAATCATTATCAAATTACCCAAAAATGGCGACCTTAATGTTTGTGAGAACTGGAGAGGCATTAATCTTCTGCCAGTACCAGGAAAAGTCTTCTGCAGAGTCCTATTACAAAGAATGAGGAAAGGAATTGATGGGATCCTTCGTGAAGAACAAGCTGGCTTCAGGGCCAACAGGTCATGTAACGACCAAATATTTGTCTTGCGCACTATAGTGGAACAGTCCCTGGAGTGGAATTCGTCTCTCTACATCAACTACATAGATTTCGAGAAAGCATTTGATAACATCCACCATCCATCATTATGGAAGATACTAGAGCTATATGGCTTTCCAGGAAAAGTCATAAACATACTTAAGGACTTGTACTTTGACAACCAATGCTGTGTGCGACATGAAAATCAGCAAAGTGAATGGTTCAAGGTAAAAACAGGAGTCAGACAGGGCTGTGTCATCTCACCTGTCATCTTTTTGATGGTAATAGACCGGGTTATGAGAAAAGCCACTGAGGATAAGCCAAGAGGAATTGTTTGGGAACTTACCAACCACCTAGAGGACTGTGACTTTGCTGATGACTTGGCTTTACTTTCACATGCCCAAAAAGACATCCAAGCAAAAACCACAAGAATAGAGCAAACCAAAAGCATTGGGCTAAAGATAAACTCCGGAAAAACCAAGCTAATGAAAATAAAAACCAAAAGTGCTCTCAAGACCTTTGCGAATTTAGCAGAGCTAGAAGAGGTCGAGGACTTTAAGTACCTCAGCAGCTATATATCAGCAAATGGCAGCATGGAAAAAGAAATGGCCACCAGAATAGCAATGGCAGCACAAGCTTTCAACAGACTCGCTAAGATCTGGAAATCATCCTCACTGCAGCAGAGAACTAAAATAAGGATCTACAAGTCTAATGTACGTTCTTTACTCCTCTATGCAGCAGAGTCATGGAAACTAAACAAGAAAGGAGAGAGCCGACTCAGAGGCTTTGAAAGAAGATCCCTCTAACGCATCCTCAGAATAAAGTGTGACGACAAAGTCCCGAATAAGGAAATATTGCGAAGGACAGGGTTAAACGACATTTTTCAGAACTTCGAATGAGGAGATGGAGATGGCTGGGCCATGTCCTACGCATGAGCAAAAAAAGACTCCCCAACATGGCGCTGAAGTGGACTCCGCCTGGAAAGCGAAAGAGGGGAAGACCACTGGGAACATGGAAGAAGAAGTGCAGGCTACTAGCAAGACCTGGCATGAATTGAAGTGGCTCGCCCAAGACAGAGTGGAATGGTGGAGATTTGTTGTTGCCCTAAACTCCACAGGGAGTGATGAGGATTAAGTAAGTAATTTGAATCAGGCTGTTCAGACAGCGCCCCATGCAAGGTGCAATTTGACGACCCGGGCTATACTGTGAACACCATGCGTTTATGTATGCATTTAGGTTTGTGTTTATTTTCTGCTTCCTTGTTTTCGTCTAGGTTTGCGTTTGTTTGAGCGTTTGTATTTTCACCATGCATTTATGTATGCATTTAAGTTTGTGTTTACATTTTTACGTTGATGTTTGGGTTTGTGCTTGTTATTTTTGCGTTTGTTTTTATGTTTATGTTTTGGTTTTTGCTTTTTGTAGTTATGGTTAATTCGAAAAGCTATACATAATCTAAACCACGGCAATGCCGTTTCTATGATGCTTACAAAACACAAGTCATGGTCATTTTCACAGAGGCCAGGGCAAGGCCTGGCCGGGACCGCTAGTTAGAAAATAAAACTAGTTTGCTTTCTTTCATAAAAGCTTTGGTTACTCATGAAACTGTTGCATATTTTAGCAACCAAAGTTTTTTATGAAAGCAGATTAGTTTTATTTTCTTATTTTCGATGCATTTTAAAGCTTCTTGCTATTTTTAAATTTGATTAGATGCTTAATAAGTCATAAAAAATTAATTAAACGGTTTTGAAAATAATAGGAGCCAAGAAAATAAAATCACTCGATGGATTACTATATTCAATAACGGAAGGGGAGATAACAAGCTAGACGCGATCACCATAACAGTAAGGTGAGCTGTCGTTCACGAGAATGTTTACAATCGTACAGGCGGTCGATCTAGTGAAGGCTATTAGGGGGAGATAATAAAGTTTTTTTTTTAAAGATTTGAAACTAAGGGGAGGTAAAATATAAAAAAAAAAGAACTTGCTGTCGTCTGTTAAATATAGTCACGGACGGCTGCTTTTACGCGACAGATAATCGTCTTTTAGACATCGCGATCTGCTAATGGTGTTTTAAAACAAATATTTTTGGTCGTGTCGACTTCATAAATTAGAAATCACTAAAAAGTATAAAATAAAACAAATAAAAATAATTAAAAAAACCTTCACAGTAAAAAGCTTTTCAATGCACTGAAAAAAATTAAACTAATTTGCCTAAGGTCTGGTCACTCATTATTTCTTTTACATATTTTAGCGAAAACAACTTTTATGACAGATAGCAAATTATTTTTTTTTAATTTTCAGTGCATTTAAAAGCTTGTTGTGTTTCTTTCATTCTTATAATATTTGTCCTACAAATGTCCTACAAAAAGCGTCCTGTAAAGTCTTTGACAAAGGTCCTACAAAAGTGTCCTGTAAAGTCTTTGACAAATGTCCTACAAAAGTGTCCTGTAAAGTCTTTGACAAATGTCCTACACAAGTGTCCTGTAAAGGCAACAAATAATAAATCACATGTTGTACTTACTGTATTGGCAGAATGGACCATAAAAATCGGGCAGACATTTTTTGACTTTGACCCGACATGTGTTCTTGGTTGGGCAGACTTTGGTGATCTCACAATGGCAGAAGACTTGACCGTCGGGGGTCTCCATCCAAACTCCGGCTGATGCTGGACAGACACGTGAAATGATGTCATGACACTACAGACAGCTGACATGATGTCATGACAGACAACTGACATGATGTCATGACATTACAGACAGCTGACATGATGTCATGACACTACAGACAGCTGACATGATGTCATGACAGACAACTGACATGATGTCATGACACTACAGACAGCTGACATGATGTCATGACACTACAGACAGCTGGCATGATGTCATGACACTACAGACAGCTGACATGATGTTGTGACCTACTTAGGTCTGTTTGGCTTTATGTATATTTAATCTCCTGAGTTATGTATTTGTCCTTGGGAGAATTGTCAGTTCACTGGTACAACCCGGTCAACTGAACGCTGTCACATCATGTGATTGTAAGTTTAATCCCTGGCAGACCCTCAACCAATGGACTTGCGACCATGAGAATCCTTGACTGACCCTCAACCAATAGTCGTAAGACTTTTGAGTTATTTCCCCTTACTCTGAGTTGTATTTAATCCCGAGAGTTTCAAGTCCAGAGGCCGCCAGATTGACCTAGGGACCAGGAGAGGTGTGCCTGTGGTTAGGTACGCCATTTTGCAGTATTGTTATTTTGTGACATGATTTCACCTTTTGTATAAGGAATTATGTGACTAGTTGTAGTTTACTGAATTTGTGTTCTGGTGTATTATTACACCTTTTTGACTATCGGTGATAGTTTAACCTGTATAAGGATTTCTATTGTTGTAGAGGCAAATTGTCTCTCCTTGGTCTTTTGTTGTGGTTATTATGAGGCCAGTTCAGTTGTGTGTATTAATGATTTATCACAGCTGTGATGTATTGTGATTTTTCTCAAACTGTAAGTTGGAGTTGAGTTTATTTATATTACACTGAGAATCTGTACATTTTGATCTTACCTAGTGTCATTATCTTGTACATGAATTAAAAAGGTATTCATAGTTTAAGGCGTGTGAGTCTCTTTGATTTGTCGTGATTTACCCCTAGACTGAATTAACGAGCTCACGGCAAGTTGTTGAGATTCCGTTACAACGTCTTCTATCGGTACCATACCAAACGAACCTGGGGCGTCCGCTTCCTCCGCGGCTGTCGGAGGTCGGACATAACAAGTGAGGGCTCGACCGGTATTTTGATTTATGTGCAAGTTTGGCATTAGTTTGAGTTTGTGATTTAGAGTTTGGTCAGTAGTTCGAAGAAGTTGAACTAGTTCTTGAGTAGTTGTTTTTGTTATCAGTTGAAGGTAAACATTGTTACTTTGTAGCTATGGAGGCTTTGTTGTTAAGTCCTACTGTGGAAGCAGTTGAGAACTTAAGTAGAAAAGATTTGATAACAGTTGTCAAAAAGTTAAACCTGGACTATATTGTTACTCAGACCTCTAGGGTGTTGAAGGACAAAGTTATTGTTTACTTCATTAATGAAGGCATGTTAGATGAGAGTCTCCTTTCTGAAGTTTTGGCACGGGAAGTGGAAATTGTTGATAGGGAGTTTGAGGCCAGACTAAAGTTAGAAAGAGAAGTTCAGATGAAGCGGTTAGAATATGAGTTTGGTATTATTGACAGTAGTTCAAGGTCAGGAGGTCCTTCTCAGTTGTCTGTGGCCCAAACATTGGCCCAGTTTTGCAAATTAGTCCCTAAGTTTGATGAGTCAGATCTTGTCGTATTTTTTAATACATTTGAGAACATGGCTGAAAGTTGTCAATGGCCTAGTAACGTAGTCACAACGTTATTAAGCACTGTTTTAATTGGTAAGGCTGCCACCACATACCAGGCACTCTCTCGCGAAGTCCAGTCAGATTACAAAAAGGTCAAGGCTGCCATTCTGAAGGCTTACGAAATAACTCCAGAAGCCTACAGAATTAAGTTCAGAAAAAGTAGGAAACAACAGAACCAAACCTATGTTGAGTTCCTTTTTGAAAAAGAAAAAGTCTTTTCAAGATGGCTCCATTCTGAGAATGTCGACGACTTCGACAAACTCAGAAGTCTGATACTAAGAGAAGATTTCCTCAACGCAGTACCTGAAGAGATCAGACTACACATCTTGGATAACCGAATAACAGACATCAAAAGGGCAGCAGAATCAGCTGATACATACGAGCTGGTACATAAGAAGTCACAGGGTTCTGGTACCAAATACAATCCGGTACTACCTCTCATCAGCAACAATCCCCCTGCTGGCCAGTTGCTGAGATCTCGTCAGTCAACACAGATACCCAGAGTCACAGCCAGGCGACTGATCTGCCACTATTGTTCCAAGCCTGGGCACATCATCAAGAACTGTTTCCTGCGACAGCGAGATAACAGAGAGTATATACGAACATCTCGTAACGCTCTCCCCCATCAAGCAAGGCCAAAGGTGAACCTCGCCCGTCGTGATGACCCTACACCAGCGTGTCCACAGGGAGGTAATGAAGTGACCACCACTTTCGTCCAGTCATCTTATGACTATCCTCTTCACCAACCGGTTACATCAGCAGCAACCAATGGTGAAGAATCGAGAACTGTTGGCTTCACATCATTCATGACAGATGCTGTCATCAGCAACCCTGGAGACCCAGCATCATCGCGGAACATCGTCGTCCTAAGAGACACTGGGGCTTCTCAGTCACTTTTGCTGAGAGACTCATTGAACATCGCTCCAGAAACCAACACCGGTGATGTCACTATCATTCAAGGAGTGGGAGCTGAACCAACAGTAGTTCCACTACATAAGTTCAACTTGAGACATCAGCTCATCCAAGGAGATGTCATCCTTGGGGTGATAGATTCCATACCTGTCCCAGGAGTACACCTGCTTCTAGGGAATGACCTAGCGGGAAGCAAAGTCCACCCCCAGGAAGTTCAGAACCCGTTCTCTACAGACCCCGACGGTGAAAATGAACTGTTCTTTTGGCCGAGAATGCACAACGATGACACCCGTTATTGCAGACATTGTAAGAACTGTCAGTTGGTTGGGAATCCCAATCAAAATATTCCCAAGGCCGATGAAACCTATTCCGGTGCTAGACGAAGCACTTAACAAGATAACCAAGGACTGCGTCACCTACTTCCCAGACCGGAGAAAGAAACAACTGGTTTATCATGTAAATTCACTATCTCTTTCTCCACAGCTAAGGTTATGTTACATATAAGTATTTTTCTAGTAAATTTGATGATGCTACTCTTAACAAGTTAAAGGCCCCAAAATTGTTAAATACTAAATTTTTGGCCCATTTAGAAGACCAACATGTACATTTATCTTCTAATGAGAATCAGACATTCTCACAGGTAGTTAAAACTTTACCCTCCCTTCCTTGGGATGGCAGGTTACTATAGGCGGTTGTAAAAACTTTTCAGCTGTAGCTGAACCACTTACGGCCTTATTGAAAAAGGGTGTTGAGTTTGAATGGTCAACTACATGTCATGAAGCTTTTTTGACCATTAAGTCATTTTTATCTAATGCTCCTGTTATGGCTGCACCAGATTTCAGCAAGCCTTTTAAACTTGCCATTGATGCTAGCAATTTAGCCATTGGCTCAGTCTTATTCCAGGAAGACAACCGAGGGATTGATCATCCAATAGCCTTTTTCTCTAGAAAGTTAAATGAGAATCAAAAGAATTATTCCACTATTGAAAAAGAAGCATTAGCTTTAGTCCTGTCCTTACAGCATTTTGAAGTCTATGTCACCTCTTCCATCAATCCAGTCATGGTATTTTCTGACCATGATCCTCTTAAGTTCACTACTAAGTTGGGACAGAATAACAACAGAATTTTAAGATGGTGTCTATTTTTCCAAAACTTTAATCTGGTTATTTCCCATATTAAAGGAACTGACAACATTGTAGCTGACTGTTTGTCAAGAATGTAAAACAACTTTTGATGTTCACATTGATCTTGTGAAACTTTTTTGGTTAGTTATAACCATTTTGCAAATGTTATGGTTGATTAAACTGTAGCCTGGTGGCTGGAGTTCCAAGCTTTCAATCAGATCAGAATTGTAGGGTTTTTTTCAAAACTGATTACTTGTTGAAAATGCCTGTTATTTTCAAATGAACCTTATTTAAAGGTGGTTTTGTATAATGTGCATTGAGTTGTTATAAAAATGTATCACATTATTCAGTGATGTTGTAGTGGGACATTTAAATAAAGGAATTAAGTTGTAAGTTTCCCACATATTATATCCAGATGGATATGTTTGGTTTCCTTTGCATAAGGAACTTTGATGTATTATTATTTTGGGAAGGATTGTTTCCCTTTGGTAAATTGTAAAAAGGTGAATTGTTTCCCTTTAATTTTTAAGGATGTTTTTTCTTGACATAGAAATTTTGTTAGTTACTATAATTGGACATTTTTTATGTCAGATTTGTTCCATATAGTGATTGCCATTTTTGTGTAACAAAAATGCCTCTCTAAAAGGGAGGGGATGTGACCTACTTAGGTCTGTTTGGCTTTATGTATATTTAATCTCCTGAGTTATGTATTTGTCCTTGGGAGAATTGTCAGTTCACTGGTACAACCCGGTCAACTGAACGCTGTCACATCATGTGATTGTAAGTTTAATCCCTGGCAGACCCTCAACCAATGGACTTGCGACCATGAGAATCCTTGACTGACCCTCAACCAATAGTCGTAAGACTTTTGAGTTATTTCCCCTTACTCTGAGTTGTATTTAATCCCGAGAGTTTCAAGTCCAGAGGCCGCCAGATTGACCTAGGGACCAGGAGAGGTGTGCCTGTGGTTAGGTACGCCATTTTGCAGTATTGTTATTTTGTGACATGATTTCACCTTTTGTATAAGGAATTATGTGACTAGTTGTAGTTTACTGAATTTGTGTTCTGGTGTATTATTACACCTTTTTGACTATCGGTGATAGTTTAACCTGTATAAGGATTTCTATTGTTGTAGAGGCAAATTGTCTCTCCTTGGTCTTTTGTTGTGGTTATTATGAGGCCAGTTCAGTTGTGTGTATTAATGATTTATCACAGCTGTGATGTATTGTGATTTTTCTCAAACTGTAAGTTGGAGTTGAGTTTATTTATATTACACTGAGAATCTGTACATTTTGATCTTACCTAGTGTCATTATCTTGTACATGAATTAAAAAGGTATTCATAGTTTAAGGCGTGTGAGTCTCTTTGATTTGTCGTGATTTACCCCTAGACTGAATTAACGAGCTCACGGCAAGTTGTTGAGATTCCGTTACAACGTCTTCTATCGGTACCATACCAAACGAACCTGGGGCGTCCGCTTCCTCCGCGGCTGTCGGAGGTCGGACATAACAATGTCATGACACTACAGACAGCTGACATGATGTCATGACACTACAGACAGCTGACATGATGTCATGACAGACAACTGACATGATGTCATGACACTACAGACAGCTGACATGATGTCATGACACTACAGACAGCTGACATGATGTCATGACACTACAGACAGCTGACATGATGTCATGACACTACAGACAGCTGACATGATGTCATGACACTACAGACAGCTGACATGATGTCATGACACTACAGACAGCTGACATGATGTCATGACACTACAGACAGCTGACATGATGTCATGACACTACAGACAGCTGACATGATGTCATGACACTACAGACAGCTGACATGATGTCATGACACTACAGACAGCTGACATGATGTCATGACACTACAGACAGCTGACATGATGTCATGACACTACAGACAGCTGACATGATGTCATGACACTACAGACAGCTGGCATGATGTCATGACACTACAGACAGCTGGCATGATGTCATGACACTACAGACAGCTGGCATGATGTCATGACACTACAGACAGCTGGCATGATGTCATGACACTACAGACAGCTGACATGATGTCATGACACTACAGACAGCTGACATGATGTCATGACACTACAGACAGCTGACATGATGTCATGACACTACAGACAGCTGACATGATGTCATGACACTACAGACAGCTGACATGATGTCATGACACTACAGACAGCTGACATGATGTCATGACACTACAGACAGCTGACATGATGTCATGACACTACAGACAGCTGACATGATGTCATGACACTACAGACAGCTGACATGATGTCATGACACTACAGACAGCTGACATGATGTCATGACACTACAGACAGCTGACATGATGTCATGACACTACAGACAGCTGACATGATGTCATGACACTACAGACAGCTGACATGATGTATCCTAGCTTGTGTAGGTTAGTTCTGTTAAGGCCACTGTATGCTAGTTTGTGTAGCTTAGTTCTGTTAAGGCCACTGTATGCTAGTTTGTGTAGCTTAGTTCTGTTAAGGCCACTGTATGCTAGTTTGTGTAGCAGCGTATGTATTTATATTTAGAATAATCTGTGTTGTGTTGAAAATGTATAACGTATTCAACTCCTTCAGTCGTGTTTTGCATCCCGTTTGTGGTAGTTTGTCTGACACGTTGCGTGACATAATGAATCACCCCTAGACGTGTGTCTGTGTTCATCACATACACACCATTCACACCATACACACCATACACACCATACACACCATTCCAAAAATAGAAGGACAGATTAGGGAAGAAGACTGGTCAGCAAACAGAAAGATAAAAATACTTACTGCGTGTCACTCTTTTTATCCTATCGATTGGCAAAACTGAAATCATTTTTGGAAATGTCACAAATGTCACAAACAGAAGAAGTGGGCATAAATAAATGTCACAGAGGAAGTGGGCATAAACAAATGTCACAAACAGAGGAAGTGGGCATAAACAAATGTCACAGAGGAAGTGGGCATAAACAAATGTCACAGACGAAGTGGGCATAAACAAATGTCACAAACAGAGGAAGTGGGCATAAACAAATGTCACAAACAGAGGTAGTGGGCATAAACAAATGTCACAGAGGAAGTGGGCATAAACAAATGTCACAGAGGAAGTGGGCATAAACAAATGTCACAGAGGAAGTGGGCATAAACAAATGTCACAAACAGAGGAAGTGGGCATAAACAAATGTCACAAACAGAGGAAGTGGGCATAAACAAATGTCACAGAGGAAGTGGGCATAAACAAATCTCACAGAGGAAGTGGGCATAAACAAATGTCACAAACAGAGGAAGTGGGCATAAACAAATGTCACAAACAGAGGAAGTGGGCATAAACAAATGTCACAAACAGAGGAAGTGGGCATAAACAAATGTCACAGAGGAAGTGGGCATAAACAAATGTCACAGAGGAAGTGGGCATAAACAAATGTCACAAACAGAGGAAGTGGGCATAAACAAATGTCACAAACAGAGGAAGTGGGCATAAACCAATGTCACAGAGGAAGTGGGCATAAACAAATGTCACAAACAGAGGAAGTGGGCATAAACAAATGTCACAGAGAAAGTGGGCATAAACAAATGTCACAAACAGAGGAAATGGGCATAAACAAATGTCACAGAGGAAGTAGGCATAAACAAACGTCACAAACAGAGGAAGTGGGCATAAACAAATGTCACAGAGGAAGTGGGCATAAACAAATGTCACAAACAGAGGAAGTGGGCATAAACAAATGTCACAAACAGAGGAAGTGGGCATAAACCAATGTCACAGAGAAAGTGGGCATAAACAAATGTCACAAACAGAGGAAATGGGCATAAACAAATGTCACAGAGGAAGTAGGCATAAACAAACGTCACAAACAGAGGAAGTGGGCATAAACAAATGTCACAAACAGAGGAAGTGGGCATAAACAAATGTCACAAACAGAGGAAGTGGGCATAAACAAATGTCACAAACAGAGGAAGTGGGCATAAACCAATGTCACAGAGGAAGTGGGCATAAACAAATGTCACAAAAAGAGGAAGTGGGCATAAACAAATGTCACAAACAGAGGAAGTGGGCATAAACAAATGTCACAGAGAAAGTGGGCATAAACAAATGTCACAAACAGAGGAAATGGGCATAAACAAATGTCACAGAGGAAGTAGGCATAAACAAACGTCACAAACAGAGGAAGTGGGCATAAACAAATGTCACAAACAGAGGAAGTGGGCATAAACAAATGTCACAAACAGAGGAAGTGGGCATAAACAAATGTCACAAACAGAGGAAGTGGGCATAAACAAATGTCACAGAGGAAGTGGGCATAAACAAATGTCACAGACGAAGTGGGCATAAACAAATGTCACAGAGGAAGTAGGCATAAACAAATGTCACAAACAGAGGAAGTGGGCATAAACAAATGTCACAAACAGAGGAAGTGGGCATAAACAAATGTCACAAACAGAGGAAGTGGGCATAAACAAATGTCACAGAGGAAGTGGGCATAAACAAATGTCACAGACGAAGTGGGCATAAAAATGTAACAAACAGAGGAAGTGGGCATAAACAAATGTCACAAACAGGAAGTGGGCATAAACAAATGTCACAAACAGAGGAAGTGGGCATAAACAAATGTCACAAACAGAGGAAGTGGGCATAAACAAATGTCACAAACAGAGGAAGTGGGCATAAACAAATGTCACAAACAGAGGAAGTGGGCATAAACAAATGTCACAGACGAAGTGGGCATAAACAGATGTCACAAACAAAGGAAGTTACTTGTTATGGCTCTACTTTATATGACCCACTTAAATGGCTCTACTTGTTATGGCCCACTTAAATATCTCTACGTGTTATGGCTCTACTTGTTATCGCTCTACTTGTTATGGCTCTACTTGTTATGGCTCTACTTGTTATGGCTCTACTTGTTATGGCCCACTTAAATGGCTCTACTTGTTATGGCCCTACTTGTTATGGCTCTACTTGTTATGGCCCACTTAAATGGCTCTACTTGTTATGGCCCTATCTGTTATGGCCCTACTTGTTATGGCCTTACTTGTTATGGCCCACTTAAATGACTCTACTTGTTATGGCTCTACTTGTTATGGCTCTACTTGTTATGGCTCTACTTGTTATGTCTCTACTTGTTATGGCTCTACTTGTTATGGCCCACTTTAATGGCTCTACTTGTTATGACCCACTTAAATGGCTCTACTTTTTATGGCCCACTTACATGACTCTACTTGTTATGGCCCACTTAAATGGCTCTACTTGTTATGGCTCTACTTGTTATGGCACTACTTGTTATGGCTCTACTTGTTATGGCTCTACTTGTTATGTCTCTACTTGTTATGGCTCTACTTGTTATGGCCCACTTAAATGGCTCTACTGTTATGGCCCTACTTGTTATGGCCCTACTTGTTATGGCCCTACTTGTTATGGCCCTACTTGTTATGGCTCTACTTGTTATGGCCTTACTTGTTATGGCTCTACTTATTATGGCCCACTTAAATGGCTCTACTTGTTATTGCCCTACTTGTTATGGCTCTACTTGTTATGGCCCACTTAAATGGCTCTACTTGTTATGGCCCACTTAAATGGCCCTACTTGTTATGGCTCTACTTGTTATGGCCCACTTAAATGGCTCTACTTGTTATGGCCCTACTTGTTATGGCTCTACTTGTTATGGCTCTACTTGTTATGGCCCACTTAAATGGCTCTACTGTTATGGCCCTACTTGTTATGGCCCTACTTGTTATGGCCCTACTTGTTATGGCCCTACTTGTTATGGCTCTACTTGTTATGGCCTTACTTGTTATGGCTCTACTTATTATGGCCCACTTAAATGGCTCTACTTGTTATTGCCCTACTTGTTATGGCTCTACTTGTTATGGCCCACTTAAATGGCTCTACTTGTTATGGCCCACTTAAATGGCCCTACTTGTTATGGCTCTACTTGTTATGGCCCACTTAAATGGCCCTACTTGTTATGGCCCTACTTGTTATGGCCCTACTTGTTATGGCCTTTCTTGTTAAGTCTCTACTTGTTATGGCCCACTTAAATGGCTCTACTTGTTATGGCCCTACTTGTTATGGCCTTACTTGTTATGGCCCTACTTGTTATGGCCCTACTTGTTATGGCCCTACTTGTTATGGCCCTACTTGTTATGGCCTTACTTGTTAAGTCTCTACTTGTTATGGCCCACTTAAATGGCTCTACTTGTTATGGCCCTACTTGTTATGGCTCTACTTGTTATGGCTCTACTTGTTATGGCCCTACTTGCTATGGCCCACTTAAATGGCTCTACTTGTTATGGCCTTACTTGTTATGGCCCTACTTGTTATGGCCCTACTTGTTATGGCCCACTTAAATGGCCCTACTTGTTATGGCCCTACTTGTTATGGCCCTACTTGCTATGGCTCTACTTGTTATGGCTTTACTTGTTATGGCCCTACTTGTTATGGCCCACTTAAATGGCTCTACTTGTTATGGCCTTACTTGTTATGGCCCTACTTGTTATGGCCCTACTTGTTATGGCCCACTTAAATGGCCCTACTTGTTATGGCCCTACTTGTTATGGCCCTACTTGCTATGGCTCTACTTGTTATGGCTCTACTTGTTATGGCCCTACTTGTGATGGCCCTACTTGCTATGGCCCTACTTGTTATGGCCCACTTAAATGGCTCTACTTGTTATGGCTCTACTTGTTATGGCTCTACTTGTTATGGCTCTAATTGTTATGGCTCTACTTGTTATGGCCCTACTTGTTATGGCCCTACTTGCTATAGCCCTACTTGTTATGGCCCACTTAAATGGCTCTACTTGTTATGGCTCTACTTGTTATGGCCCACTTAAATGGCTCTACTTGTTATGGCTTTACTTGTTATGGCCCTACTTGTTATGGCCCACTTAAATGGCTCTACTTGTTATGGCCCTACTTGTTATGGCCCTACTTGTTATGGCTCTACTTGTTATGGCCCACTTAAATGGCTCTACTTGTTATGGCTTTACTTGTTATGGCCCTACTTGTTATGGCCCACTTAAATGGCTCTACTTGTTATGGCCCTACTTGTTATGGCTCTACTTGTTATGGCCCACTTAAATGGCTCTACTTGTTATGGCTTTACTTGTTATGGCCCTACTTGTTATGGCCCACTTAAATGGCTCTACTTGTTATGGCCCTACTTGTTATGGCCCACTTAAATGGCTCTACTTGTTATGGCTCTACTTGTTATGGCCCTACTTGTTATGGCCCTACTTGTTATGGCCCTACTTGTTATGGCCCTACTTGTTATGGCCCACTTAAATGGCTCTACTTGTTATGGCCCTACTTGTTATGGCCCTACTTGTTATGGCCTTACTTGTTATGGCCCTACTTGTTATGGCCCACTTAAATGGCTCTACTTGTTATGGCTCTACTTGTTATGGCTCTACTGCTTATGGCCCTACTTGTTATGGCCCTCCTCACTGGCGGCTCCACCTCCACGGCGCACATAAATTGATAATTCTTGGAGCAGTTTTGTCTGGTATAGTCAAGGCCTGACGTCATTAGGGCTGACGTCACAAGTCTGACTGTCACACAACTAGCCTCCAGGTTCCAGATGGTTTCATTTGCACGAGTGACGTCATACGAGAGGATCCACACTGCAGATTGAAACTCTAATAAAGATCCGTTGTCCTAACTCTCACTCTAATAAAGATCCTTTATCCTAACTCTCACTCTAATAAAGATCCTTTATCCTAACTCTCACTCTAATTAAGATCCTTTATCCTAAGTCTCACTCTAATAAAGATCATTTATCCTAACTCTCACTATAATAAAGATCCTTTATACTAAGCCTCACTCTAATAAAGATCCTTTATTCTAACTCTCACTCTATTAAAGATCCTTTATCCTAAGTCTCACTCTAATAAAGATCATTTATCCTAACTCTCACTCTAATAAAGATCCTTTATCCAAACTCTCACTCTAATAAAGATCCTTTATCCTGTCTCACTCTAATAAAGATCCTTTATCCTAACTCTCACTCTAATAAAGATCCTTTATACTAAGTATCACTCTAATAAAGATCCTTTATCCTAAGTATCACTCTAATAAAGATCCCTTATCCTAAGTCTCACTCTAATAAAGATCCTTTATCCTAAGTCTCACTCTAATAAAGATCCTTTATCCTAAGTCTCACTCTAATAAAGATCCTTTATCCCAAGTCTCACTCTAATAAAGATCATAAATTTGTCCTTATCCTACCTCTTACGCAATTATTACCCTAACCCTTGTAATGTTCCTAGGTGTGGATTAACACTACCTTACCTAGATGTGGATTAACACTATCTTACCTAGGTGTGGATTAACACTACCTTATTTAGGTGTGGATTAACACTACCTTATTTAGGTGTGGATTAACACTACCTTATTTAGGTGTGGATTAACACTACCTTATTTAGGTGTGGATTAACACTACCTTATTTAGGTGTGGATTAACACTACCTTATTTAGGTGTGGATTAACACTACCTTATTTAGGTGTGGATTAACACTACCTTATTTAGGTGTGGATTAAAACTACCTGACCTAGGTGTGGATTAACACTACCTTATTTAGGTGTGGATTAACACTACCTGACCTAGGTGTGGATTAACACTACCTTATTTAGGTGTGGATTAACACTACCTTTCCCGAGTCAGTGCTCACCTTCCTCTTGGATTCTAGCCTTGCTCAAAACTTGAGAAATGGTAGACTGCTCTCCCATAGACATCAGTTCCTTCCCTTTGTGCTGGCACCAGCCCTGGCCACAGTCATATGCGTCATTCAATTTGAAAATCTAGACTTAACCCTAACCCTAACCTGAGCCTGCACATAAACCTAAACCCTAACCCTAACCTGAGCCTGCACATAAACCTAAACCCTAACCCTAACCTGAGCCTGCACATAAACCTAAACCCTAACCCTAACCTGAGCCTGCACATAAACCTAAACCATAACCCTAACCTGAGCCTGCACATAAACCTAAACCCTAACCCTAACCTGAGCCTGCACATAAACCTAAACCCTAACCCTAACCTGAGCCTGCACATAAACCTAAACCCTAACCCTAACCTGAGCCTGCACATAAACCTAAACACTAACCCTAACCTTTTCCTGCACATAAACCTAAACCCTAACCCTAACCTGAGCCTGCACATAAACCTAAACCCTAACCCTAACCTGAGCCTGCACATAAACCTAAACCCTAACCCTAACCTGAGCCTGCACATAAACCTAAACCCTAACCCTAACCTGAGCCTGCACATAAACCTAAACCCTAACCCTAACCTGAGCCTGCACATAAACCTAAACCCTAACCCTAACCTGAGCCTGCACATAAACCTAAACCCTAACCCTAACCTGAGCCTGCACATAAACCTAAACCCTAACCCTAACCTGAGCCTGCACATAAACCTAAACCCTAACCCTAACCTGAGCCTGCACATAAACCTAAACCCTAACCCTAACCTGAGCCTGCACATAAACCTAAACCATAACCCTAACCTTATCCCAGAGGCGTAGCGAGGGGGGGGGGCGGGGGGGGGGACGACATATATCCCCGGGCGCCGACCTTAGGGGGGGGGGGCGCCAAATTGAAAGTTTGAGTGGTGGGGGTGCAAATGAAAAGTTCGAGGGGGGGGGTGCAAATCGAAAGTTTGATGGGGGGGTGCAGATGAAAAGTTCGAGGGGGGGGTGCTAATCGAAAGTTTGTCCCCGGGCTCTGGGAAGGGTCGCTACGCCTCTGCCTTAGCCTGCACATAAACCATAACCCTAACCCTAACCTTATCCTGCACATAAACCATAACCCTAACCTTAGCCTGCATATAAACTTAAACTCCACACTCCGCTGCTCTACATGAGTTCGTGCTTTATCAATTCGTGGAAACGTTACTTATATATTAACAATTTACTAAATACACGGCCATGTTACTCATACATCATATAACCCAATTAAACATTCATTTTTTTATGTGTGGTAATTTCTCTAAGACAATTTAGAAGCTACATTGAGAATGTTCGAGTCAATCACCCCCTACACCGGATCAACAGCCCCCCCCCCCCCCACCTCCCTAATTTTCGATTACACCGACTGTCAATTAAATTTTTATATCTGTAATTTGCCACTTATATCCCATATTGAAATATACGGCATTATAAAAGTGTTCTACATGTGAGCCTCCTATACATATACATATATATATATATATATATATATATATATATATATATATATATATATATATATATATATATATATATACATATACATATACATACATATATATATATATATATATATATATATATATATATATATATATATATATATATATATATATATATGTATAGGAGGCTCACACGTAGAAAACTATCACACCTTAACTATTAACTCACACTGAACCTCAAATTTAACTTCAAGCTCAACCTAAACCTAAACATCAACCTAAACTTAACCTCAACCTCAACCTATGACTAAACCCCTAACCTTTGACCGGATGACTAAATCCCTAACCTTTGACTGGATGACTAAACCCCTAAACTTTGACCCTATGACTAAATCCCTTACCTTTGACCGGATGACTTACCTTTGCTCGATGCCATGACAACGGTATGACGACGCGAAGAAAACAAAAGCCGTCGACTAGGATTTCATCTGTACTGACACATCTGGTGCTTGCTGTAAGGGACAATGGTCATTCAGCAGTGGTCAGTGGTGGTCAGTGGTGGTCAGTGGTGGTCATTGGTGGTCATTGGTGGTCAGTTGTGGTCAGTAGTGGTCAGTAGTGGTCAGTGGTGGTCAGTGGTGGTCAGTAGTGGTCAGTTGTTGTCAGTAGTGGTCAGTTGTGGTCAGTGGTGGTCAGTGGTGGTCAGTGGTGGTCAGTGGTGGTCAGTTGTGGTCAGTGGCGGTCAGAAGTGGTCAGTTGTGGTCAGTGGTGGTCAGTGGTGGTCAGTGGTGGTCAGTGGTGGTCAGTGGCGGTCATTGGTGGTCAGTGGTGGTCAGTGGCGGTCAGTAATGGTCAGTGGCGGTCAGTTGTGTAGCTACTTTCTTTACTTGTAGGTTACCAATACAAAACAAAAAAATGTCGATATTTCATTTCTAGATTGAGCTGTAATTTAACATCGCAAAGTTCTAAAAGTTCATTGATCATTAGGTCTAAATGTTCATTAGGTCTAAATGTTTATTTTGTCTAAATGTTCATTAGGTCATTCGGTCTAAATGTTCATTAGGTCATTAGGTATATGTTCATTAGTTCTAAATGTGCATTAGGTCTAAATGTTCATTAGCTTATTATGTCTAAATGTTTATTAGGTCATTAGGTCTAAATGTTCATTAGGTATAAATGTTCATTAGCTTATTATGTCTAAATGTTTATTAGGTCATTAAGTCTAAATGTTCATTAAGTCATTAGGTAAAAATGTTCTAAATGTTCATTAGCTCATTAGGTCATTAGGTATAAATTTTGGTAATCTATCGTTTTGGGTACGTAAAATCGCCCGCGGCTATCTACGAAAACGTTACCTCATTGTCAAGGCTGTAATAGAAGTATATTGTGATATGTTGGTGTCAAATATTATAGATAACTGAATAATAAACCTAAATCAATGGCTAAATATATCAATATAGGCCAGAAATTAACTTTAAACAGCAGTGTCTGCAAGCAAGATTTGCTATATATATATATATAAACAGCAGCCCTTTGTAAAATAGAGTGGCTTCCCCCTTAGACAAGATGGCATCTATAGTAAATGAGCATGGTTGCATCTGTTGAAAACATCGCTAGTCTTCATTTATTACGGAAAAGTTTAAATTCAATTGTTTAAAAACAGGTGCATAAATGAAACAAGGAAACATTTTTGTATTTTTTAAAACATAAATCCTCCTCAAAATGTGAAATAATTATTAAAATTTAAGGAGTTACCTGTTTTTCACATTACAAATTGCGGGCGATTTTACGTACCCAAAACGATAGATTACCTAAATTTTCAATAGTTTATTTATTAGGGCTAAATGTTTATTAGGTCATTAGGTCTAAATGTTCATTAGGTCATTAGATGTAAATCTAACTACTCATCAGGTCATAACGACATAACAATCTGCTATTTTTATACCCAGTTCAATCTTATTGGAGAGACTGAAGACGATGAATATGCTAATTGTGAAAATCTGTTTTGAACTTTGCGGTAAAAAAGGTGTGTAGCCCGCCATTTTGATTGATGCAAAAGGAAGTGCATAAGTCTTCGGGAGTCACTGTTTTTGGTGCACATGCAGTGCGCATCTGTCTAACTGCCTCACGGGAAGTGCGCAAATCTATGTTAGTGTAATAGAAGAAAGAAGCATTTTTAGGCAAATAGTAATTTCACCTACCGCATGAAAGTTTGGGAACTTATCCATTTTTACAAGCTTTTATTTAACTCACTTCCTCTGTCTGTCGTCAGTCGTCAGTCTAGACGGAAACGCAGGAGTGAAAATTCGGACAGTTCTACTTGACCGACACGATTCACAGTTGGCACGTGGGTCAAGACATGAAGACAATGCAATCTGAAACTAAATTTGACTTAATTGGATGCCTAATTGATTTTTTATGAATTAATTAAAATTTGGACCGAATTAGTAGGCATGTCTAGCCAACCACACCACACGCGTCATCAATAGCTGCGCCATCACGACCACGTAATGGCTGCGTTCAAAAACCATTGCGCGCCTACTGAACGTGATATTCAGTAGGCGCGCAATGGTTTTTAGTCATGTAACTCTATTGTAGATAAAACATGTAGAGTACTGAAAAAAAATTCATAAAAAACGTTTTAATAACAAGCTTTTATGTAATGATGCACTAAAAAGTAGAAAATAAATTATAGACTACTATTTAAATAACTATAAAGAAAAGCGTGGGTGTCTTCCTTAACATTAGTAAAGGTATCCAATAGATACTAAAGTGACCCACGCTTTTCTTTATAGTAATTTAAATAGTAGTGTATAATTTATTTTCTACTTTTTAGTGCATCATTACACAAAAGCTTGTTATTAAAACGTTTTTTATGAATTTTTTTTTTCTGAGATCAAGAGAGATAACAACAATAGTTAAGCATGTTTCAATTAAAGTGATTACCTCCCCCGTTATAGTCGGATAGTATTGAGAAATAGTAAAATAATGTTAAATTCTTTCTTGTGTGTTTGTTTGTGTGTGTTGGTGTGTCTGTGTGTCTGTTTGTGTATATTTGAGCATACAAATACATAAACACTAGTGTTCAACGCAACTCACAAACCCAATATCCTCGTGTCTTGTTATCCTTGTGTTTTGTTATCCTTGTGTTTTGATATCCTGTGTTTTGATATCCTTGTGTTTTGATATTCTTGTGTTTTGATATCCTTGTGTTTCGATATCCTTGTGTTTTGATATCCTTGTGTTTTGATATCCTTGTGTTTGCAAACATTCTAGCCTGTTCTTTTATTGACTCTTAATAGGAGTGTATGCGTGTGTGTATGTGTGTGTGTGTGTGTGTGTCGGCCTACATAGGCTTATAATTTAGATATATACCGCATAATTAATCATTTATACAACTGGCAAAAAACTTATTTCTGTTTATTTTGCAATTTTTTGCCATGGGGTCACCCCCCCCCCCTAAATGGTGTCGCCCGGAGCGGTCGGCACTCCCCGCCCTCGCTACGCCTCGATGTGTTGTGTCTCCATGTAAAAATCTGTCTTGCGATATCTTTATATACTCTCCTACTTTCTGTTTGCAAGTAACATTTTAAAAACTTTCTGCCTTTTTCAAATGTCTCGAGTACTTTCTGTTCAACTTTATTCCTACTTTGGGTGCTTTCTGTTCACCTTTATTCCTACTTTGGGTACTTTCTGTTCACCTTTATTCCTACTTTGGGTGCTTTCTGTTCACCTTTATTCCTACTTTGGGTGCTTTCGTTTTACTGTAGTAGCTCCTCAATGTCTTCCATTTGTCATAATTTTGCAATCGTGTCCGTATGCCTGTGTGTGTGTGTATGTGTGTGTATGTATGTGTGTCTGTAAACACGATAACTTGATTACCGTTACAGCTAGGCTGATGAAAATTCATATTTAAGTATTATATCAAATTTGTAGATCCGTATCAACTTTTCAGCGATTTCCGATAACGGAAGTGGAATTTTTTCTACTTTGAATTTTTCAAAAGCCTATAACTTGAGTACTATTTTAGGTAGATAAATGAAATTTCACATATAGGTAAAATATATAATTCTCTACCTTGTATTAAATTGTGAGTAATTTTTGTTGACCGGAAGTAGTAATTTACGCTATTTTCGATTTCTTAAAAAAAACACATTGTTATGATGCATGTTTGACTGGGGAAATCGGTTTGCATGATTGATGGTGCGGCCGTATATTGAACAAGTGAATGTGTGACGCGATACGAAAGATAGCGACGTTTTAGGTTAGAGAGTTGGTTGCTATGAGCTTGTGGGTGAGTTAGTAGAATCCTTAGTGTCGGTGTGAAAGGACGTGTGCTGGTTGACAGGACTCAAGTCGAGAGATATGTTCTAGGAAGATAGACATATGTAGATACTAGAATAAAAGATTCGTACAAGGAGTACTTAGTTCCTCTTACTTCCAAAGTCGTTGATGAGTCTGAATGTAATACAGCCTTAGTGGTTACCAAGGTTTACTACTCTCTCCCTGGTATTGGAGAGGAGTTAAATGGTAGCTGGCTGAGTCAAGTGACTCAAACCCTCTCACTGCAGCAACATAACCGTAACACACATATTAATGTATATTATAGTACTAATAATAGTCCGCACTATTAAACACATGTTGTTTGACATTCACTTGGTGCGCAATTCTTTTTTTCTACGAGATTCTATTATATTTTTTAAGAGTTTAAGTAATTGAAAATAGATTACAAATCATGTCTATATTCCGAGTTGCCATCCCACGTAGTGTTATATAAGAATATTCGAGAAAGTTAAGGGGAGATCACTCCCGCTTTATTTAGAGGGAAGCACTGGTTTTTGTGTGTGATCTTTCAAGGAAAAGAATTGGTGCTAAAGGAACCAATTAAAATGTGAACACTTTTTTAAAAAATTGTAAGCTGATACCTTTGCTTTGATTTTGTTCATTCCCCACGACGTTTGCTAAAATGATTAGTTTGAAAAAGAAAACTTGTTTTACAAAACCATCCATATTAATTTTTTTTAATCATTAAATTAGATGATCAACGCTTTAAGAGTATTACACTAAGGCGGTAAAGTCGAGTTTTACTCTATGTATGGCTACCACGGGTCAACTGTCACATACAGAGACACATAATCCGTTTGAGCTTTATATATTAGACAAACATTCGGTACAGCTATACATACATTGTCTGCTGTTCACTTGGTGCGTAATTCTTTTTTCTACGAGATTCCATTCTATTTTTAAAAGTTTATGAAATAAAATAAAAATATCTAGTCTATATCTCGAGTTGCCATCAGCGTAGCGTTATCCTTATAGACGACAAAAATGGCCCGTTGAGGAAGGATACAACGGGCGCTAGGTTGATAGTCTATTTTCGCGGTACTTTAAATACAAAATACAGTCATAGGCATATCCCTAAGGGCCTAAACCATGCACCTAATCTCATTCATGAAATAAACCGGGAGTGATCTCCCCAAAACTTTCTCGAATATTCTTATATAAAATAACAGGGGATGGGAACTCGGGCTATAGACATGATTTTTAATCCCTTTTAAATACTTAAAGTTTTAAAAATAGAATAATATCTCGTAGACAAAAGAATTGCACACCAAGTGAACGCTAAATAAAAAAGTGCATAAAAGTGCGCAATATCGTTAGTACTTTAAAAATTTACATAAGTTTTTTGAGAAAACGGAAGTAGCGTAAATTACTACTTCCGGTCAACGGAAATGACTCAAAATTTAACAGAATGTAGAGAACTAGATCTTTTACTTCTGAAATAGTACTCAAGTTATAGGCTTCTGAAAATTTCAAAGTAGGAAAAGTACTTTTTCCGGTTATCGGAAATCGCTCAAAAGTCGATACGGATCTACGATTTTGATAAAATACTTATATATGAAATTTCATCAACCTAGCTGTAACGGTACTCAAGTTATCGTGTTTACACACAAACAGACAGACAGACACACAGACAGACACACAGACATACGGACAAGATTGCAAAATTATGTTTTTCCGTATCAATGAGACTTTCTCTATACCTCGTATATACGAGAAAGTAAAAAGTCGCATTTAGAGTTTCTTTCCGGCAACTCTACTTGGGAGGAGGGGGCTTCGCCCCCTCCCCCCCCCCCCCCCCCCACCCCACACACACTCCAAAACATGTCTACCGTCACATTCAATGAAATATAATTATATACTTTTTCCAGTGTCCGCCCCCTCCCAGAAAATTCTACCCCCGCCCCCGAAAATTTCAAGTACCCCCACCCCTCTCCGGGATGGAAAAAGTCTGAAAGAAACACCGGTCGCATTTGTAGATCATACAAACTAAAGGAAGAATCTGGGCGGGGCTTCGCCCCTACCGGAAGAGATGCTTGAAAAAAAACTGCACGCTAAACACTTTTTAGATTAGAAAAAGCTCCCCCCTCCGAGGAGGAAAAAGTCTGAAAGAAACACTGGTGTCGCGCTTAGCCACTACCCGAAGAATTGCATTAAAGGAATTGCAAGAAAACCACTTTTTAGATTAGACACATTAATTAGGCGGTAATTTTATTATAGAGTATCGATGACGACATTTCTTTTTAGTTGGGGAGGGCGGCTTAGACGTTCATTCTCGAGGGTGGGGCTTCGCCCCTACCCGAAGAATTGTATGAATGAAACTCTTCACGCAAACCACTTTTAAGATTAGACAAAATTGCCTTTTTATTCAATGCTTACTCGAGAATCAATGACGTCATAATACTGTGTGCACTCTCCGGCTTGATGCTATTTTCTTCTATATGCTAAATGTGACGTCATATTTGTTTCCGTCGGTACTTTAATTTATACAAAATATAGTCATAGGCATATCCCTAAACCATGCACCTAATCTCATTCATGACAAAAGTCGCATTTAGAGTTTCTTTCAGGCAACTCTACTTGGGATGAGGGGACTTTGCCCCCCCCCTCCCCCCCCCCTTCCACACACACACACTCCAAAACATGTCTACCGTCCCATTCAATGAAATATAATTATATACTTTTTCC